TTCTTTCCAATTCAAATTATTCAAATGTGATTTCGCGCCGCTGTTACTTAAATTCAGCGCGAAAATTTGATTGAAATTCGGTCACCACAGTACTAATAATAAAAAACAACAAAATAAAGACTTTCAGAATGTCAACTTCGGTATACTCACAGAAATTTTGAAAAGGAACAGAGTGTAGGGACTACGCGGTGAACGCTTCAACTGGATTAAAAATTTTTCATGACACAGTCGTTGACGCCCTTCTTCGTGTCCTATAACACACTTTAAACGCTATACCAGAGAACATAGAGAAGTGTCATAGTTTAAATTAAATGACGGTTGAGTGTTTGTTTCTAACTAGGAATAAAATTAACTAGAAAAAATGTCATAATATTTTTAACGACGCGTTTTACTTTCGACAAATTGACACTAGATTTACCAGAATATTACAAGCTGCTTACTGTTTCGTTCACTTTAATTCAGGTCACACGAATTGTAATTCGTACTGTAGTTCGTCGTCTGAGAACTTGTTTGATCTACAGACCAGACCGCACTCGGCCAATGTCGACTCTAAGCGTTCGGAAACGATTTGATTTATAATTTTATAAGCCATGATCCGTGATCTGATACACTTTCTAACCGGTTTCGTGCATAATTTCTGCTGTTTCAACTTTCGAATTCTCAGTTTTTCGAAAGTTTAGTTTGGGGACTTTTCAGTTTACTCCTATTTATTATTCAATTTTTGGATTTTACAATTTTTCAATTTCTCGGTTTTCAGTTTTTCTCTTCAATTTTACGATTTTAAAATATTTCGATTTTTCAATTTTTGACTTTTATAAACTCTTTATTTGTCGATTTTTCAGGTTTTTTGGTTTTTCAATTTTTCTATTTTTTCAGGTTTCTATTTTTCAACTTCACTTTTTGATTTTTCGATTTCTCAATTTTTCGATCTTACGATTTTGCAGGTTGTTGATTTTTCAATTTTTCGATTTTTTTTAAGATTTCGATATTTCGACTTCACCTGTTTGATTTTTCGATTTCCCAATTTTTCGATTCTTTAAGTTCTCAGTTTTTGGATATTTCAGTTTTGGGATTTCTCAGTTTTTCGATATTTCAGTTTTGGGATTTTTCAATATTTCTGTTCTTCGACATTTCTACTTTTGACTTTTGGATTTTTCGGTGTGTTGACTTTTTACTTTTTCGATTTTTAAAGTTTAGATTTCTCAATTTTTTGGTATTTTAATTGTTCAATATTTAAAATTTCAGATTTTTCGATTTTCCATTTCAGCTCTTCCATATTTCAATTTTTCAAATGGTTAGATTTCTTAATCTTTCGATTTTTCGACTTCCCAGTTTTAAATTTTCTGATTTTCAGTTGTCGTTTTTTTAATTTTTCGATTTTTAAATTTTTGATATTTCAGTTTTTTGATATTTTAATTTTTCAATCTTTGGAATTTTCGATTTTTCGATTTCTCGATTTTTCATTTCAGTTCTTCGATATTTCCGTTTTTCATGTTTTCGAATTTTTTAAATGTTTTGATTTCTTAATCTATTGATTTTTCGACTTCCCGGTTTTAGATTTTTTGTTTTTCAATTGTCGTTTTTCCAGATTTTCAATTTTCGATTTTACAATTAATCGATGTTTTGATTTTCCCATTTCTTGACTTTGGAGGGTTTCGATATTCCTGTTCTTCAATTCTTTAATTTTTCGATTATTCATTTTTTAGTTTTTTTAAGGTTTCGATTTTTCGACTTCATTTTTTGGATTTTTCGATTGTTCAATTTATCGACTTTTTAGGTTCTCAGTTTTTGGATATTTCAGTTTTCGGATTTTTCAGGTTGTTAGATTCTCAGTTTGTCTTTCATTTTTCAGTTTTTCGATATCTCAGTTTTGGGATTTTTCAATATTTCGATTCTTGGACTTTTCGATTTTTGACTCTTGGATTTTTCGATGTGTCGATTATTTTATTTTTTCGATTTTTCAAATGTTTCAATTTCTTAATCTTTTGATTTTTCGACTTCCCGGTTTTAGATTTTCTGTTTTTCAATTGTCATTTTGTCAAATTTTCGACTTTTTAATTTTTCAAATTTGACTTTCATAGACTCTCAATTTTTCGATTTTTCAATTAAACGATGTTTTGATTTTCCCATTTCTTAACCTTCGAGTGTTTCGATTTTCCTGTTCTTCAAATCTTTAATTTTTTTATTTTTCAGATTTTTGATTTTTCAATTTTTCGATTTTTTAAGGTCTCTATCTTTCTACTTCACTTTTTTGATTTTTCGGTTTTTCAGCTTTTAGATATTTCAGTTTTAGGATTTTTCAATATTTCAATTCTTCGGCTCTTCTATTTTTGACTTCTGGATTTTTCGATGTGTCTACCTTTTTACTTTTTCGATTTTTCAATCTTTTGATATTTTAATTTTTCAATATTTCTTAATCTTTCGATTTTTCGACTTCCTCGTTTTAGATATTCTGTTTTTCAATTTTTCGATTTGTTAAATTTTCATTCCCGATTTATCAGTTTTTCAATTTCTTCTTTTGGCCTATTACGGTTTCTCAGTTTTTCTAGATTTTCAATTTTTCGTTTTTTGATTTTTCCGTTTTTCCAATTTTTCAACTTTTAACTTCTTGTTTGTCGATTTCTCTATTTTTCGATTTTTCGACTTCATCACTTTTCGATTTCTCGTTCTTTTGATCTTTCAATCTCTCAATTTTTCAATTTTTCAATTTTTGGATTTTTAAATTTTAGATTTTTCAATCTTTTGATATTTTAATTTTTCAATATTTTTTAATCTTTCGATTTTTCGACTTCCTGATGTTCTGTTTTTTAATTTTTCGATTTGATAATTTTTCATTCCCGATTTATCGAGATTTGATTCGATAAATCGATTCATCAGTTTTTCAATTTTTTATTTTGGCCTATTTCGGTTTCTCACTTTTTCCAGTTTTCCATTTTTTCGTTTTTTGATTTTTCCGCTTTTCCAATTTTTCAACTTTTAACTTTTTGTTTATCGATTTCTCTATTTTTCGATTTTTCGACTTCATCACTTTTCGATTTCTCGTTCTTTTGATCTTTCAGTCTCTCAATTTTTCAATTCTTCGAATTTTTAAGTTTTTTGATTTCTCGATTTATCGAGATTTGGATTTTTCGATATTTTGATTGTCAATTTCTCAATTTATAAATTATTCAATTTTTAACTTTTCGATTTTTCGATTTTGGCCTATTTCGGTTTCTCAATTGTTCGACTTTTCGACTCCACGATTTCTTGATCTTTTGATTTTTCGATTTTTCGATTTTCCAGTTTTTCGATTTTTCAGTTGTCCGATTTTTTAAATTTGGGAGTTTCGATTTTTCGTTATTCGGTTTTTAAATTTTAGATTTTTGAATCTTACATTTTTTTAGATTTTCTGATGTTTCATTTTTCGATTTTCAGTTCTTCGGTATTTCGATTTTTCAATGTTTAAGTTTTACGATTTTTTAAGGTTTCGATTTTTCGATTATTTTAATTTTTCATTTTTTTTTCTCACTGTTAATATCATACAGTGTATCGAAAACAACCACAAAAATTGTCACTAAAAACATTTAAAAATTCATACAAAATAGAACAGTGTTTCCAAAATATTTTCCAGAAAAAAATCCATTGGGTTATTACGATTTTAACAATATTCTTAGTTTAAGACGTTTTGCTAGTATAAAACACAAATAAAGAATTAGTTAATTATTAGTTAAACAAAATATCTAAAATCATCTAAATATGTACCAAAAATATTCACTTAGTAGTCGACATTGGCCTTATAATTATACTTAACTGAACTAATAATAAAATTACTTACTTACATTAATTACGCCACACACTATTAAGAATTTCAATCAACAAAGAATTTACACGATGTTAAATTATGTTATTTCAAGTCATTAATTAAATCAAAATTCATTCCCCGGTTACCACGTGGACCGAAACACCCACATCACACACAAACAACAACAAAAAACAATATTCAATACAATTTAAACCACTATAAGCTGGTCTCGGAAACGCTGTGCTCTAGAACGGCACCGACAAGAATTAATGTTCGAATTCAAGCCGCAAAAATATTAAACCAACAATTGAATAATTAGACCTATTACACTTGTATATCGCGTCCACTTGGATATTAATTTGACTGATGGACATTTCAAGTTCTTTTTTCTCAAAATGGTTCAACGTTTAAGATTAATTTAAACGTCATAAATGAACTATTAACAATCTCGAGTGAGAAGCTATGAAGTAACAATTTACCAAGTATTTAGTTTTGCAATTCTTGATTTATTCAATAAAATAAACTGACTGACTCCTTCATTTGTTTGAGTCGCCCTGTATAAGCAAATCTGAAAAATATGAATGCAGTGATAAATTACAAGTACAGACTGATCATATTTTGCACATCTTATTAGATAGGCAAAATTTTGAGATGACGTCATCAATTTTTTGGAGGGGATAAGCAAACCTATTTTGATTAAAAATTTATTATGTTTATCATAACTTTAAAACGTCTACAAGATTTCATTTCAATCGGTTTTGCAGATTCAAAATTAAATTGCAAAATGTTTTATAAATTGGATTTTTTTTCCAAAAATCTGGACGTTTCGGGTAAAAACTCAACACGGAATCATAAACTACATTTAAAGGACTATGTTATTTTATACAATCTGAAACCCTAGGTACAATTTTCAAGTGACTATATTCGTAATATAAATACAAAATTTGACATCAATCGGCTCAGTACTTTCGGAGATTATCTGTCTGATAAAAATCCGGACGGCAGACAGACACACGGAAACGGGAGTCCTATTTCTTCGTACTTTAGGGGTCATGAAAGGTCGAGAAAACGTAAAAGTAGACAAAAAAAGAGCACAAAGATTGGTAACAAAAAATCCAACAATGAATAAAAAAAAATGTTGAATAAAAATGTTTACAGTAGATTATTTCTGCTTTATTAAAAAAACTTACTCTATTATATATAATAAATACCATGAAACTGAGTCAATAAAATTTATTTCTGTTATACATTCAGATCTGCTGTCCACTGTATCCATAAATTAAATTATTAAACTAAATAATTGTCTTCATAACAATCCCTCAGATCTAAAATCCTATCAAAACACTCCCTAAACTGGTCATTTTCCACCCCCTCACTCACAAACTGATGAAACCTCTTATACTTAATCTTTTCCAAATCCTTTACCAACACATCAAACATATTTCCCACAAACTTCCCACTGTGCAGGCCTGCCAACACATTCACACTATCCACTGCACTATTTTCGCCCCCTAAATCTACGTCGCCAGTTTTGCCAACCCTACCATCAAAAAACCTAGGAAATGGAGTCCTCACTGGCATTTGTTCCTTACTAACCGTCACTTCACTCCTCGATCCATAACTTGTACAAACCAGAAAATAACTCAACATTTCTTTCAAAGTGTCACAGCGATACGCAGGCATGTCCCTCTGTTTAGTTTCGACGTGGGGAGGCCGCTTTAGTCTACTCTCGGGGATTCCTCGCAGTGCTACCAACTGTAAACTGTCATCAGAGCTGATTTCACAATTAGGAGTGACACTCTGACATAAAGGACCGTCCCAGTTGTCTAAACAATCAATAAAATCCTCGCCTTTTTTTAACGGAAACGGTAAACGAACACTGGTAGCTACGGCTTTTCTGCCATTTGGGGACATGTCAGTACACAAGTCAATCAAAGAGTGTCTCGAATTTTTCAAGCGGTAGTTTAGAGTGACGGTGTCTAAGGTAGCGGCTAAAATAGCACTAGAGTGGTAAGGTAGATCAGGTTTAAACGACAACAAGTCAAAACGGCGACTTTTTGTTGAAAGAGGGGTAAAAAGCGAACTGTGTTCATTTAAACCATCAACACACAACGCTAAAGACAGAAGGTTAAGCGGGTTTTTTGATGACAAGTCTACATTCACCGGGAAACTAAAAACTGACTTTGTGTCATACTCATCTCTGATATACTCTAAACAGGAAGTGGACAGCCCGGAAAAACCATCCATCGCGTCTAACAGAACGTGAAACCCTTGAAAATTGTTACATTCTTCAATGTAGTTGCGTATTTTGTCAACAAAATCCTCGCTAAACTGGTCTTTCTTCCACAGATTTGTCCCTAAAGGAAAAATATCAAAAGGTGTGTGTTCATCCGAGTGTTGGTAGTCTTTAACCACATTTACGCTTCTGGGGTGGAACCGCGTATATAAAAAGTCCGACCATACGTGAGCGTCGTTGTCCAAATCATAAATTTTCTTAGTTTGGAGCCCCTGGTCAAGATCTTTCTGGAAGTCAATTTTCTCCTGCTTTTGTTCGGCTACTATTTCAAAAGGGGAAGTGTCTGTGTCTTCCTGAGCTGCCTCATACAATTCTCCATCCTCTGGCAACGCTTTAAGACTACCTTTTAAATCAACTAGGAGCAGGCGAGGTGTGAAAGTGACGTCTCCTTTTAAAGTAAGGCCTTCTCGGTATAAAATGTCGTGGTTGATTTCCGAGGGGTTGTCGGGGTCGTACTGGAAACTAGACTCTTGGATGTTCCACCAATGCGTGCCGATAAAGTTGGAGTAGTGGCCGAATTGTAAAGTCAGGATTTCGTTCGAAGACATGGTACATAACCTCAAAGTTGGGTTGGTGCGGCTGTAAAAGAAACAAATTGTAAATAGTTTTGATGTTATAGAGAAAATGCCCACTTACGTTTCGTTTTGTTCTTATTAATTAAATTATTGGAACAATTTACACGGACATGAGATTCAAAAACTCACATGAAAAGTCAAAACATAACCCCAATGTTGGTGCTTTGCACTATGATTTTTTTTATAGAAATAATAATAGGGACGGCATTTTATTTTGAAATTATTAGCTATATTACGTATATCTGATGTATAAAAAAATCGTACGACTTTCTATAGCGAAGGAAACTTTTGTTCACTTTTGTTCTTCTGGAAGTGTATGTGTCACCGCCACCGGTAATCAAAAACACAGTTTATAGCGTATCGACTCCAAATTTTAAAGCCTGATAAGTGTTTGGCGAGGTAAAAATTTCAGCTGACTAATGATTATTTTTTAATGCAGAATGATTCATCAATTGCGACCGATTATTATAGTTGTGTTTATGCAACCCAAAATACATTGTCGCAGGACATCCCGAATTTTTTTTGCATAATTTCATAGTTATTTGAAAAGTGTCAAATGTGTCAAATTAAACTTACAAAAAATTAATTAAATACGTAAAAACAATAGCGAAATAACAAAACTAATGCAGTAAATGCCCAATTAATTTTAGATAATAGTAATAATAATAAATTAAGACCCACCACTGACCCGGAAATGACCGGCATTCAGGCAAGACTTCTATCATTACGGGTACTAAGACCAAGTAATGATATGCATTGATTAGATTAACAGAACAACTTTCGAGATTCTAGAATTACAGCATACAAATTAGTCTGCTATTATTCTCTAATCTCACCCCATCCCCAAAAGTCCAGCGTAACTACCGACCATTTATCCGCGCATCACATGAAAAGTGACCTACACTACTCTGACCTACTGGTGCTAATCTAATCTGACTGACATGATCAGACTGTTCAAGAAACTTACGAACAATATGACATGTTCCTAACAAAACAGCTTTTTGAATTTTGACAATTATTGAATCATTCAAATGCAAAGACTTTAAATTCTCAACTAAGCTATTTGGAACTACACCTACATTAGAGATAACTAGGGGTAGAATTGAAATTTTTTTAAGATTTAACATGGATTTCATTTCTATCGATAATTGTAGATATTTTGAAATCTTGGTGTCGTATGTTTGAATAATGTTGTTTGTGTTAGGAATAGCAATGTCAATGAGAATGGCTTCGTTCGTGTGTTTTTTGATAAGTATGATGTCTGGTCTGTTAGCTGTAATGTTTAAGTCTGTAAGTATTGTGCGATCCCAGTATAATTTGTATTTGTTATTTTCAAGGAATGGAGACGGAATGTAAGTGTAATAGGGTGTCGTATCTTCGATTAAGTTCATAAGTGTTGCTAATTCTTTGTGAATGATTTTGGTTGCGTTAATTTATTATTAAGACCCACCACTGACCCGGAAATGACCGGCATTCAGGCAAGACTTCTATCATTACGGGTACTAAGACCAAGTAATGATATGAATTGATTAGATTATTAATTAATTATTAATATTATTATTAATATTATTATTATTATTATTATTAGATAGGGATCTCATAAACTCTTGCATTTACGAATCATCATAAAAATAGTCTTTCGGGGTCATGTCATTTTACTTATCTCATTTCCGACAAAAAAAGTAGACTCAGGAAGTCTCTAGAATTCTGTAAACTGAAAACAGTGGCGAAAACCGCGTTTTGAAACTTTCAAACTTAAAACCGTGATGAAAAATTTCACCAAACGGAAGTACCTAATTGTGACAGATATGTCAATCGTGGTATGCGATAAATTAAACAGTTCATCAATCTTGACAGCTGAGAACAGGAAATTATAGAAAACATCATGATACCAATTTGAGGTAAAAATCCAGGACTGCCAACAGACTCAGTCATTTCACGAGAGATCACGTTTCTCACCTTCAAATGTACAAATCTTCCTTTTGCCACAAAAAAATTGTTACATTTCTCATTCATGCATTCTTTAATGATGATGTAGAAGGGTTTTGCACAAACAGCTTGTGCGAAATCAGAGGTGCGTTTTGTAAAATTTCACCAATGTTAATGTTTTTTAAACAAATAAATAAATAAATAAATAAATAAATAAATAAATAAATAAATAAATAAATAAATAAATAAATAAATAAATAAATAAATAAATAAATAAACTGACGTGCTAAATCTTTACCTATCCAGCTGGAAACAATAAATTGATATAATTAAGCACCTACTATTCAAAATAAAATGTTCCTTGCTTAATTTCTGAACTTTTCTTGTAAAACTCCTAACAATTCCAATTCTTTCGTTCTTTTCGTCCTTTTCATCCCTTCTCGTCCTTTCTCGTCCTTTCGTCATTTTTCGTAGTTTATCGTCTTTTTCGTCCTTATCGTCCTTTTCGTCCTTCTTCGTCCTTTTCGTAATTTTTCGTCCTTTTCGTCCTTTTTCGTCCTTTTCGTCCTATTTAGTTCTTTTCGTCCTTTTTGGTCCTTTACGTCCTATTTAGTTCTTTTCGTTTTTTCGTCCTTTTCGTCCTTTTTCGTAATTTTTCGTCTTTTTTGTCCTTCTCGTCCTTTTTCGTACTTTTTGTCCTTTCTCGTCCTTTCCGTCCTTTCTGTCCTTTTTCATCCTATTCGTCCTTTTAGTCCTGTTCGTCCTTCTCGTCGTTTTCGTCCTCATCCTTTTTCGTCCTATTTAGTTCTTTTCGTTTTTTCGTCCTTTTCGTCTTTTTTCGTAATTTTTCGTCTTTTTCGTCCTTTCTCGTCCTTTTCGTCCTTTTCGTCGGTTTCGTCCTCATCCATTTTCTTGCTTTTCGTCCTTTCGTCATTTTTCGTCATTTATCGTCTTTTTCGTCCTTTTTTTGTCCTTTTCGTCCTTATCGTCCTTTTCGTAATTTTTCGTCTTTTTCGCCCTTATCGTCCTTTTCGTCCTCTTTCGTCCTTATTCGTCCTTTTCGTCCTATTAGTAATTTTCGTCCTTCTCGTCGTTTTCGTCCTCATCCTTTTTCGTCCATTAAATACTTTTCGCCTTTTCCTAATTTTTCGTCCCTTTCGTCCTGTCTAGTCCTTTTCGTCCTTTTCTTAATTTTTCGTCCTTTTCGTCATTTTTCGTAATTTGTTGTCTTTTTCGTCCTTTTGGTCTTTTTTTTGTCCTTTTCGACCTTACCGTCTTTATCGTCCTTATCGTCCTTTTCCTCCATATCGTCCTTTTCGTCCTTCTTCGTCCTGTTTCGTAATTTTTCGTCTCTTTCGTATTTTCCGTCTTTTTCGTCCTTTTTCGTAATTTTCGTGATTTTCGTCCTTATCGTCCTTTTCGTTCTTCTTCGTCCTTTTCGTCCTTATCGACCTTTACGTCCGGTTTTGTCCTTTTTGTAATTTTTCGTCCTTTTCGCTCTTTTTCGTCCTTTTCGTCCCATTTAGTTCTTTTCGTCCTTTTTCGTACTTTTCGTCCTTTTTGTCCTTTTTCGTTCTTTCCGTCCTTTTTTGTATTTTTCGTCCTTCTAGTAATTTTCGTCCTTTTCGTCCTGGTCGTCCTCGTCGTTTTCGTCCTCATCCTTTTTCGTTCTTTACGACCTTTTCGCTCTTTCGTTCTTTTTTGTCCTTTTCGTCCTTATTCGTCCTCTTTTGTCCTTTTCGTTCTTTTTCGTCCTTTTCGTAATTTTTCGTTCTTTTCGTCCTTCTCGTCCTTTTCGTCCTCTTTAGTCCTTTTTCGTCTTTTTCGTCCTTTTCGTCCTTGTCGTCCTTTTTCGTACTTTTCGTCCTGTTTGTTTTTTTTCGTCCTTTTCATCCTTTCAGTAATTTTCGTCCTTCTAGTCGTTTTCGTCCTCATCCTTTTTCGTCCTTTTCGCCCTTTCGTTCTTTTTTGTCCTTTTCGTCCTTTTCGCCTTTTCAATCAATCAATCAATACTTTATTGGTGTTAAAAACTTACAGTTTTACACAAGTCAAATAATAAATTAAACCAATAAACTATTAAAATTTCTACACCGAAGATAATCCTCAAAACTATAAAAACAATTCATAATAAGAAAAGTTTTGAGTTTTTTTTTCAAATATATTAATAGGCTTACTACGAAATTCTTCGGGTAACACATTAAAAAATTTCACGGCGAAGTATCTTGTGCCTGTTTGTAACCTCTTCAAACGTTTTGAATTTAGAACTAAATTTTCTTTGTTTCTGGTGTTGTACAAGCGAATGTCAGTGAACTTAGAATAATTACCAATATTGTCTTTGAGATGTAATAAACAATGTAGGATGAAAATTGAAGGCACAGTTAAAATTTTAAGTTCAACAAATGTAGATCTTTTTTGTCCTTTTCATCCTTTTTTGTCCTTTTCGTTCTTTTTCGTCCTTTCCGTTATTTTTCGTTCTTTTCGCCCTTTTCGTCCTCTTTCGTCCTTCTCGTCGTTTTCGTCCTTTTTCGTCCTTTTCGTCCTTCTCGTCTATTTTTGTACTTTTCGTCCTTTTCGTTCTGTTTCGTCCTTTTCGTAATTTTTCGCCTTTCCGTAATTTTTCGTCCACTTCGTCCTGTTTAGTTCTTTTCGTCCTTTTCCGTCCTTTTCTTAATTTTTGGTCCTGTTTCCTCCTTTTCGTAATTTTTCGTCCTTTTCGTCTTTATCGTTCTGTTCGTCCTTTTCCGTCCTTTTCGTCCTTATCGTCCTTTTCGTCCTTATCGTCTTTTTCGTCCTTTTCGTCCTTATCGTCCTTTTCGTCCTTCTTCGTCCTTTTCCTAACTTTTCGTCCTCTTTCGTCCTTCTCGTCGTTTTCGTCCTTTTTCGTCCTTTTCGTCCTATTCGTCTTATTTGTCGTTTTCGTCCTTTCCGCCTTTTCATCTTTTCGCCCTTTTTTCGTCCTCTTCGTCTCTTTTTGGCCCTTTTCGTCCTTTTCGTACTTTTCGTCATCTTCGTCATTTTTGTCGTTTTCGCCCTTTTTATCCTTTTTATCCTTTTGATCCATTTTATCTTTTTTATCCTTTTTATCCTTTTTATCCTTTTTTTCCAATTTTTATCTCTTTTACCTTCGTGCGCTTTGTTTTTGTTCATGTTTAATTAAATTACTGATATATTTGTTAAACCATGAGGGATAAGTTCCAAGAGAGGAAGACTTTCTGAGAACATATACAGGGTGGCCCAAAGAAAACGAAACAGACGGGACTACAGACGCCTACGGGCACTGTACTTGATTTTGTGAAAAATGCTCGAACAGGTCGATTTTTGATTCAAGATAAATCTTTCCTCTGCGTCAATTTTGAGATCATTTGGATTTCGAGACTTGAGAACTAATCCACCATTTTTTATTTGTTTGACTTTAAAAATACCTGGTTCATTATGTGGATTAATGTTGCAAATAATGTCTGATTTTGATTTACCTGTATTAGCGTAAAAAGAGGAATAGGCAGTATCATTTGTTTGATTAGAACCACTATCAAATTTTTGCATTAACAAAAACTGATTTTACTGTAAGCGAAAACCGCGTTCCGAAACTTCTATAAATAAATGCGTCATGAAAAACTTCACCAAACCTTAAAAAAAGTGTGAGAGAAGTGTTTATTTAACAACTTTCCCTATAAAGACCGTAGAAATGACTGAATCTGTTGTGAACGTTTCTTGCGTTTATGTTGGCATAACGGCAGTAATTGTGTGACAGTATAGCTCCTAGAGAACACATTATATTCTAAATAGTATTGTATGGTATTTCGGGGGGCTATATGTGACAGATATGAGAACCAGAAATTATACAAAACATCATGACACCAATTTCAATTCAAAATCCAGGATTGCCAACAGGCTCAGTCATTTCTGAGCTATTTTCATTACGAAACGTGATGTGGAATTTTTTTGAAACTGTTTTAAAATAATTGGAGCTAAAATATTATTCTTCTTCCGAAACTAAAATTTACATTACTTGCTTTGCTGGTACAGATTGTACATTGTACCATTTGATTGACCATTTCAAAACTTGGCTGATTTTTCAACAATTGTTTCACTACTGCTTTTAATACTGTGGTTCTTCATTTCAACCAGTTTTTGCATCATGTGCGCATGTGCAGTTAACAAATGACAGATAAGTCGACAGAGTTTTGGCGGTTGATTGTTGCATGTGCGGGTGTTCTGTGTCGGTGTACAGTTGATAAAATCATGTGAAAAGAACAATTGTCCTTGGCGGCTGTTCATTTCATTTGATCTCTAAAACTTGATACGTAGGTATGTAGAAAAATACTGTTTAATTATAAACCCATTACTAACAGGCAGTTTCTATTTGTTAATCATAATGGATGATTGCACAGCTTGAAGCACAGCCACCATGAACTTAACCTTGCTGCAGTCAATACTCATTGTTATTCTTTATTCAGTTATTTACAGTTAATATAAACAATTCCCTCGAAATCTTTAACAAAAAAAGTGTGGTTAATAAATTTGTAGCAATTTCTGTTTAGGGATTTTTGCACCACCCGTCGGTGGTGATCCTGCGAAACGACATTTGACAGTAATGCTGTTATAATTCAAGTTCAGTTTTAAATTAATCCTGAAAATAAGTTTTTTCTTTTGGTTTTTAACAAAGGGTTGAATAATTACAGTGTATAACACACCGTATAGGACATACTACGGGTAATTATGGTAAATGACGGTCATATTTATATTAGAACATATGCTTTTCGAAGTGATATAGCAACACTTTTTCTCATTCATGATCTTATTCTTTACAGATTTCCAAGTGCTCGGAAATGTTCTTCTGACTCATCTCTCTTCGTTTTTCCCTTGGTGGTAAGTCAATGTTTAGAAATTATGTATTATGGAATGCATTTATAGGTATAACATACGTGCTCTTAAAAGCACAAGTCAATTGAATTGCGTCATTGTTCAAAACTAATTTTTAACTGTTGTGGAAATCAGTGCAAGTAACAGTTTTTATATTCTTGTATTGTTTATTCAAAATTACAATTTCATTCTTATCCATTCTTATTTTAACCAACAATGGGCTAAATACCTTGCAAAATATACAAGTTCATTTCACTGGAGTATCCACGAGTAAAGTCGAATTTTCGTCTAATAAAAATGAATCAGAATTATTAGCTGATGTGGGTGATAGAGCGCAAGCATTATCTGAGTTCAAACGAACAGAATGTGGAGCAAATTCGCCACATTTCCTTTAATCAAAGAAGCTGACAATATTTTGGAGATCTAAACGAAAATGTTGTGCAGAAGGTTTTAAATCGTGTCTCCTAATTTAATTTGGATGTTAACAATATTTACTAATACATTCGCAATCTCATTTAAAAATTGATTTTTGAAATCTATTCTAGCTCTTATTTCAGAACATAATGTAACATAAAAATTTAGGCAATTAATTTTTATCACATGGAGCTGCGTTTTTCTACTTGTCGAAAATAAGTTGGATTACGCGGATTCATATTTTCGATTGACATTGTATCGAATACTTCACTTTTCATATAAAATTTACTGATCATTTTGAAGTACATTGTAATGGTTGGTAATATGGTATGAATTCTAGGTTTTTCGCTTTGAAATTCTAAATTTATTTTAGCAATTATATTTAAAATATGTTGCAGAAATTAAATACAACTTATTTTGCATATTACTTGGCGATTAAAAACCTGACGAGCGCCATAAACATTTTCAAGAAATGATTTGCTCTGAAAATATAATACGAGAGCATTCCATTCCTGTATAAATTCTGTTTACTACAGCGTTTAATGACAGCCATCTTGTTTGAGAAAGTCTTAGTAGTTTATGGGCTTCAGCATTTACAAATTCTTGAAACTCCTTCAACTGGTGTTGCCTTTTTGAACTATGCGAAAAATAATCATAAATCTCTCTGGCCATATTTTCTACTCTAAATTATTATAAAGAATAACTTACCGGATTTTGAACCGGACAAGAATCCAATTTGCGTTTGATTGGCGTTGACTCAATTAACGTAGTTTAAAAAAATAAATAAAGTAAAAATAAAATCTTTTAATGTAACATATTTATTTATAATTTCGTCTTAAAAGTCTGGTCTTCTACTCAATTCATTTCCTAAGCATTTTTCTATTGACATTAGTGCGAGTCCAGATAAACGTTCTTAAATCAGTTTTGATAAGTTTTAGACAGGAAAAATTTCTTTCGAATTCTTTATTAATAATATTTAAACTACGTTGTATATCACTATTTTGGAATTGATCATCATGGTATATATTTGATAATTCATTTAATAAACCATCTTTTGAAAAATTTTTGGATATGTTTCTATTCAATTTGGATTTTTTGGGGATCTATAATATTTTCATCTTTAGCCTCCTAATTAAAATTTGGTTTTATTTTACGACTGCGTAAAGGTAAATGATTTTTTAACACTACTTGACTGTCCAAGTAAAAAGCTGCAGAATTTTCTGCAGCCGTCTTTAACACTAATAAAAACTCACTATCTGATATCCGTTGAACTAAATTATTCTTGATATCCTGTAAGAGTCTCAAACATTCTAAAATATTTAAATTTGGTTTTTGTAATAATTTACTAACATGCATTTTTATGTTGTGCCAAATTTCTGTCAATCATTGAAATAGTTTTTCGGGCTCTGCAGTGACACGAGATTTTATATCTTTATTGTCTTCTTAAACTTAAACGGTTTGATAGCATCAATCCGGCTTGACCAACGTGTTTCTGATAAAGATTTTAAAGTTAAATTTGAAACATTTTATTAATTAATGTTCCAAGATCGCACAACGACGCGAATTATAGTAATAGATGTTAATTCGCCTGTTGAAGTAGAAGTGTCCATAGCATCTGCAACACTCTTTCTAAAAATTTGTGCTGCATAGCGAACTTTCATTTTTTCAAAGTTACCAGGATTGATGTGGTTGTTAGTAATTTTTAATAAGCTGCGAGATAGTTGACTACTTTCATCAATATGGTAAACTTAGTAGCGTTCCATGATGCTGCTGCTCCATTTACAATAATATCCCTTTTCAGTAAAGAATTGCGGGTGGATTTTATTAAGTAGGGAACATTATACATGGTATATAATTTTCTGTTGTCGAAGTTAAAATATGATTGTGAGGTTTTTGTCCTATTAAAAACTGTCTGCCTTCGTATAGTTTTATTTTTTGTAGAGCTTCAGAGTGGGAAAGAATTTGTTTTGCAATTAAAAGATATTTTATTGTTCCCAAATGACTTAAATGAATCAAAGCCTCCTCAGTAGAAGTGTTTACGGCGTCAATACCTTCACACGTGCTGTTCCTCATTTCAGATACATTTTTTGCTTGCGTAGGATTTTTAAATGTTTATAATTTTTCTATTAAAAGCGGCCATCTCCGTCTCTAGTTCTTCCAGTTGAATTTTTTTTTCTGTAAGTTGGACGTCCACTTTTTGCAATTGCAATTTTTGCTTGGCCAGCTCATTATAAGTTTTTGAATCGCCTACGTCAGTTGACATAATCTAAAAAAGCAAACAAAGTAAAAATAAAATGCGTATAAATATACATACAACTTGGCCAGCATCTAAAAATTTCGTTCTTTTTGATGTAACTGGTAGTATAGGTACCGATTTCAAAGTACTGGGTTTGCCTCGTCGTTGAATTCATTTTCATTGTTATCTTCATCGTTATTCAAAGGACCGCCGCCTGTTTTTCCAAAAACTTCGGTTTTTGGCCACAGTTCTTCTGTTTTTTTTTTGTTGTACCATTTTTGAAGTGATACCACCGACCTTAGCGCCCCTGTTGGACATTGGGCATTAAATTCGTCTGTGATTTCTTGCCAACACAAGTTTTTCTTTATTTGTTACGGCATCCGTCTTTTTATTTTCTAAAACTTGACGTCGATCAATTAAAAATAAAAGCGCCACGTGATATTTTATTCGATAACTCGGGAATAGTTGGGTCGATTTGGATGGATCTAAACAGGTCGCAAGTTGTTCATTTTTTCAACAGACGAACCCGTATCGCATTCGGTTGTCTGAATTCCGAAACGCTGCATTTACGGCGGAACCGATGTTCAAGAGAGTCATAGTTACTCCCGCCGTTTATCCGTACTTGTTTAAATTCATTCGTGTTGCCAATCAGAGCAAGGACTGACTTTACAACGGTGTGTACAATATGTCTCATCAATTTAGTTAATTTTCCTGTGTTCCAAGGCTTTCAAAACAAATGTGTCCAAGTTTGATGTACCATTGACCTCTTCTTCGTCAAATTCGGTTACCTCGTTTTCCATTTTCGCTGTTTCAGTCAGTCTTCATAACGCAGCAGGTTTCGGAGATTTTACAATCCCCTTTTTTAACTTAACTCGTTCGTTTTGTTGTTGATTTTTTTTCTCTCTATATTTCTAATCTGAAATCCGTGATACCTGCTTTAAAGGGTTATTTTAGATAAATAGCTTTCAAAGTTCGAGTTGATGGAAGGAAAGGAAAATAATTTTGATCTGACCATCTACGAGCATGAGGTGTTCAGTTACGATTTTAATGTTGACAGAATTTAACCTGTTTTCAAGTTAGTACGTGTTTTTACTTTTTCTTTTCTATTTTATAACAAAGATTTTAATTTTGACAGTTTTGAAACTGTATTTCTAGAATAATATGTACATGCAATTTTTTGTTGGGGTTTAAATCTTTCCTTGAAAAATTTATTTTTCCTAAAGTTTCTTGCTTTCTTCTTTCAAAAACGCAAATTTGAGGAACATCCACAAGGTACCTAATAAAATAATCGTAATTTTCAAGATTAGCGAATTTTTAATAGCGAGATCATTGAAATTGGCAATATTCTCTGTACATTGAGTCCTATTTTTCAGTACCCTTCTGTCACTTGAGAAACACTTTGAATTATAATCAGTGTTTAAAATCTTTTGTAATTTTTAAAAGGGACGAAAGGGTTAAAGCAATCACAGTGCTCCACACACAGCAACTACCCGGTCGAAATAATAACAAAATGGCCAATAAGTTAAAAATGTATTCAATTTAATATTTTGTTCATATGATAGCGATACCTTCATTGTTACTAAGTAGTAACTTCAAATCAGATATTCTTGTTTTTGAATACCGTTTTTACGTCAGTTACAAATAAACGGAATACAACTGGTCCGAAATGAGATCCTTGTGGCACACCCGATAATAGATTTATTTGAGTGTGATTTCGTACCACGTAATTTAGCAAATTGTTCAGGATTACTTAATTTTTGTTTTTCTGTGATTGCTGTGGGTATTTTGTAGATATTGCGTTTTTCCTATCACATTTTGAAATAGCCGAATAATAATGTTCATGTGTTGAAAAATGGTACTGCGGTCCCATAATTTTGGGGAAATTGTACAATTTTTAAAATGTCTTAAAGTCTTTGATGGGAATGTTTGGACCGATTTTAGTTAGCGTCTTACCATCTACAAGGTATTCTTAAATTAGATCTGAAATTTTACACAATTAGTCCAGTAGTTTCGGAGGTTATCTGCCTTTTTAGATGGATTAAATATTAGAAAAACATCATTGTTCGTATGTTCGGACTGAATTTTTTCTAAAACTTTCTTCCAAGGAACTTGTATCTGCAATAATTTGTTCTCTTCTTACGTGTCATCTTAACACCATTTTTAATACAATAGTATTCATCTTCTCTTAATGCCTGAAATCCAGACTAAATTTTCAACGTCTCTTAACGCAAATGTAGCATTGTGTTCAGCAACACAATTCCTAAAAAAAGCCCAAATTTTCTACCACTATTTCTCTTTCCTCCAAGCGCAAGAATATATCAGCTTTTCGTGTACTGTAAATGATGCACATAGGTTC